TTTTGGCAACTTTGGAAGTAGCTCCCCAATGTTGGGTCATGTGCATGTTGTCTGTATGATGACTCAGCTGTGGTGTGGTGCTGTTATCACATATGTTCTATCTTTGAATATTGGAAACAAGAAATTTGAAACAGCCCAGTCTAGCAAATTTTTTCTGATTTTGCTTTCGTCTTTTAACAAAAACTAACTTAAATTCCCTAAAACAGCCTTCAGGTCTTTTTTTTCATCTTGATCATCTGCTAAGGCTTTTGGGCCCTGGGAATGTCTGAGAAAGGTGCACTGAGTAATTCATGTGTAGGAATAGCTGAAAAAGTTATCTTCAGGTCTTTTGGGAGTTCTGCAACCTCAGGGAAATTTAAGACCCCTGATGATAGCTGCTCTTTTAACAGTTTCATTTTTCTTCTGTACTCTATAAAGAAATGATTCTACTCACAGAGTTTTACAATTGTGTGTGGTTTCTTCATTTGTTTTAATGCATTGCATTATTTTGTTGTTTACTAAGAAGTTTCTACATGTAAAGCAAGTATAATTGTGTTTACATTGAACTTTAAAATATTTTTCTGCCTCATAATATAAAGAAAAGGTAAATAAGAGCAACGGCATACCTATGCTGTTATTTTGCTATGTAGTTTATCTATATGACCTCCCATGCTGCTTTCATATTACTTGAATTGCATTGCCCCTGCTTTCTCTAGGACTTTATTAACTTTGATATAGTGTACCTATATTCATTCATGTAAATTATTTTGAAGAACAAAACAATTGACAGATTTGGCTTTACAATATCTGTGATTTTTGTTTCATACCTTTGTCCATCTTTCAATCTTTGTAACCAGACCTAGTTCTTTATTGCATAGACCTTATAATCCCTTAATACCCTGATTCTAAAATGAATGAGCTTTAAAAATTCCTGTTACACGAATAGTATAAAGGATAAAATAATTTAAAGTTTCTTTATAGTTACAAGTTTTTAGATGATGAAAGTAGAATTCCTAAAATATAAATTACTCATGTCATTTTCCCCCTAATCTTTAGGTGTTATCTTCTTATAAATGAAACCACTGGGATTTTTCTTGTGATTATAGTATTTCATTATTTGAATATATAAACACCGTAATGCTGGTGTACAGAATTAACAATAGCAAAGGAATTATTCTGAGTCAAAAAGAGCCTTCATCATGATGAATAGCACAGTCATTTTATAAGGCATTTCTCATAGGACTATATTTGGTCATCCTGGTAGCTTTTGGAAACACTTGTTTTATCTCACAGTATTTGTAGATCACTTTTGATGGTGGGTGAGTGTTAACACTATCTTAACCATACCCTTCTAGCCTCATCAAATTAGAAGTGAATGATTGGCAGTGGAAGAGAGGTTTTCAGTGAAGCCATTCTTGATAATGTAGGGCTGAAAAATTCAAAGGTATGTTACCATGGTAACAGTGTTTTCATAGTGATGACCTGATTTACTAAGAAAAAGTCTTCAAATAAGTATATGACTTGATTAAATAAGAGATTTAAGGAAAGGGAAAAGACAAAAACAAAACACCTGAAAAACAGACATTCTAGTCAAGCCCAGAGCTTCTATAATAGATGCCCCAAGGTATGGTGAGAATTATTTCTGATTTAAACTTTCATTCCCTCACCTGTTAAAGTAGTAAACCTTTAAAAGAAAGCTTTTAAATTAAAATTTTCAGGTACTAGGTAGGCTGAGGTGAGACCATTGCTTGAGGTCAGGGATTTGCAGTAAGCCTGGGAAACATAACAAAACCCCATCTCTAAAAAAAAAATATATTTACATATATGTGTGTGTATATATA